TGTGCTCAGTTCTGTATTATAGAAGAAGTTAGTATCAACGTGAAAATTTCTCAAAAATTGCAAACTATCGAGCTTTATAGGCTTTACAGATAACATCGTTTAGGATAATAGACACTCATTGTCAATTTACAAGATTGTTTCCTGGAACAACCTATTTTTCTTTATGAAAAGATTGATATATTGACAATATTTTTACAAAAATCAACGGTTCTAGTAAAACTTTTTCTGTGTCAATAATCAACACCGAATCCCTGAAGACGTCAAATAAATAACTGCTTTATAAATGAAAAAAATTTTTTGCCGCCGCACCCCTGGAGGCAGTGTATGGGCATATGGGAAAATTTATTTTTGAAATGAAAACAAGATATATATATAGATTCTTGTAGATCCTCAGGCAAAAATCAAACCTGGATGCTCGAAATAAATGTTAGAAAAAGAAATTATCAAAATAAAAGACCTGCTTCGTGAAACCGTGTATTCGTAATTCTGCTTGGAGATCTGGATAGCAAATTCATTAGGGGGACTATTTAGTAAGACATAAAAAATTTTAATGAAACTGTTAATTAATATTAACATATCAACGACATACCCGTCACATCATATAGGAAACTAGGCTACTCTAGGGACAATCTTGCTAATTGACAATAAGTTTCTGCTTTTGCGAAAGACGTTACTTGTGAAACAAAGAGATCTTGATAGTGTGTAATCTTTAAGAAACTTTCACATTGATTCTCTTTCTATGGTACCGAACTGACTACACTGGAATATCATTTAGTCAAGAAATACTCTAGAGCTAAGAAAAGAGATCCATTTCAGCTATCAAGAAAATAGCAATGAAAACTATTGATTAAAGAAAATTGAAGAGTACTTATTACTGTATCAAACTGAGTTTAAAAACGTAATTTATATCAGTTTTTTTTTTGACAAATCATAATGTCTATGAGGACTATATATACTTCTCAAAAATTCTAACCAGTATATAGATCCTTAGACCATTAAAATTGGAGTAAAAACTAATTTCTTAGGTGCTATTCGATGCACTGTAAATTGCCTAACAAGACTACATATATGGTATCGTAGTTCAAAATAGTTCATAAAATCTGGCAAGGTTAGTTTTATATTTTTTTACTTTTTATATTAAAATTTTCTAGTCGTCAAACACATAGTGCATTATATGATGATATGAATCTTAATCTTAGTGATGATGAGAATGAAGAAGCAGAAGATGACGAAGCTGATGATAAAAAACCAAACGAGAATCAAATGTAAATTGACAATAGTTTTTCTTCTTTTTTTTTTTTTATACAGTAAATTTCAATGTTTATTTAAGAAAAAATCAACATACCGACAGTGATGATCAAGTACCTATTCACAGTGATACGGAGAATGATGATGAAATAAATCGAACGGTTTGTTGAATGTATTTTCTTTTATAACAATTTCAAAAAAAAAAAAATTTTCGATTTTCAGAATCCACATACATTGTCATTATCGGATTTTATAACTGGAAAACATTCACCAGTAGAATCATCAACTGATATTCGAAAACGAAGTTTATCACCACAAATACCAGCTCAAGAAATAAAACAAAATAAACGTAAAGAAGAATTAATTAAATCATTTTCATCATGTGTAAATATTCCTATTGACGTTAAACAACCAACACTTCCTATAACCATTCCTACATATTTATTTTCTAATCAATCTAATAAAACAGATGGTAAATAGAAAAAAAAAACAAATATTTTTTTACTAATTATCTATTCATAGATGAGCAAATTATTGAAAAATCACAAAAAACATCAAAACGATATGCGAATGGTACAATTAAACAAGATACAAATACACAAATGATCGATAATTCAAATACAACAAATGGTACACAACAAAAAAAGAATAAAACTAGTCATATATACAAACAAGAACCAGCTATCTCCTCGACAACAATACGTATTAAAGAAGAACCAAATATTACATCACATATTGTGACATCTAATGAAATATTATCTACTGGTAATACAATAACTATTACACCAATGACAGATCAACCAAAGAAAAAACCAACAGCAAAGTAAATTATTAAAAATTATGTTTGATTTTGTACTCCAAAAATTTGATTTCAATTAAGAAAAATTCAACTACTAGTTAATTTCATGTTTGCAATTGAGATTTCTTCTTCATTGATAATTAGTAGTTACAGACATGTGAAATCATTCATATCATGAAGATAGTATTCACTCAAACTGTAGAAAAGAAAAATTCAATTCCTAAATTTTTTACCACTGATGAAGAAACATTCGCAATGGTTAGTCATGGTATTAGATTCATAGTTTGCTGATTTGTAGGTCTCAATAAGAGTAACCCGGTGACTGAGGTACAACTGAAAAATAAATAGTAGTCAATCTCTTAAAAATTCGTGTTCAAGCTCGAAGTCAAAATCAAGTTTAATGCATATATACGTCATGAAGAACTGAATTTAAGACGAAAGGAATAACGCTTTCTGAGAACTTTGATATCTTGAAAAATATTTGAACTCTTTTTTTTTCTTTGCACTGAAATTTTTCTTATTCTATTACAGCGAAACTTTGTAAAATAGTCGTTCATCAATTGATTCTTCATTTAAATGATTACATGCTTGATTGCAGAAAGCAGCATTATCGAAAAGAAAGATCGCTGAATTGCTCTTCATGATCTATAATAGTGATTTTCGTGTCGACGACCATTCTTATCGTTCACTTTGTGGATATGTACTGCATAGAGAATACTGCATATATCATCGATAGCTTCAGTACTCGAAATGAAGACAGCCTGCGGAGAACGATAAGATACGAGGACGAATTAGATTATTCTAAAGAACTTATTAACTTCGAAACCTTTTGAACTCGACTTCGACACTCTTTGCTATCTAATTTATTTATTGTTTAAATATTAATTGAAAAATGGATTCGAGCTTTTATCTGAACTTTTATATGACTTGTAAAATTTTATTTTTCAGTGTTCGACCACTTTTACAAACTACAACAATTGATAATTCATCATCAATAAATAATAATTCAAATGTTCTTAGTACATCTGATCGTCTAACAACAGCAACGAATGCTTCAACAAAATCATACTATAATAATTTAAAGTACAAAACATTGAAAATTTAATTCTATGATTATAATTATATTTGTTTCTTTTTCTTTTTTTCTTTCAAATAGAAATATGTCAACAAAAGAATTAAATTCTTTAGCTCGAGAAAAAAAGAAACAAGCTGATGGTGAAAAACGAACATTTGAAGATATTAAACAATCGATGTCATTATATCTAGAATCTGTTTGTTATTTTATTCAATGTGCTCATGATGAACCAATCTTAGAGCAACGTACTTCATTATTAGCTGCAACAATATCAATGCTTCAGTTAGTCATCGAATTTAAAATTAATTTTAAAAAATTTTATTTTTTGTTCTTTTAGACATCTTGCATTTAATTATGAAAAAATGTTTCATATATCTACAATTCAATCAAATGATTCATTACATAAGATTCGACAAACATTTCTTTTAATTAAGTAAAGAAAATTTACAAGAAAAAAAAGAAAATTTTCTTACACGTCGTGTTTTTTTTTTGTTTAGTTATTGGCTTCAATCTTTTATTTATCAATTACAATATAATGCAAATTTACCAATACTTGAACGATGTGCTCATCAAGTAACAGAATACTTTAGTCATTCAAAATCTCCAGCAGATACAAATCATAATTTTATTTATGAATTTTCAAAATATATGTTACATTCATATAATTCAAATTATTATTGGATTAAAGCTGATCGTTTAAAGCGTGAAGAACCATTAAAAAGTAAAAAAAAATGAAATGAATATTTAATTTGTCCTTTTTTTCTATGAAATTGATCTATTACTACCATTTTTTTTTTGTTCTGAAATTTAGAATTTAATGAACAGTTATTAAGACAAAATCAAAACCGACGTTTAGCACGTGATGATACAACATTAGATTTTTTATTGTATATTTTTGATGCGATTGATTTATTACGTTTAACTGTTATTTAAGAGAGTCCATTTTTTTATATATTTCAAACATCTTCCAATTTAATTTCAACATAGACGCACTCCGGTTTAGCTTCTGTTTTATATAAATATGTATGGTAGAAGTGAATTGATCTTGATTGATATATTTTTTTTTTGTTCCGGAATTATGATGATTCCATTTGATTTATGTATATGTATAGCTTAGAATATTGAAAAATATTATAAGAGCGATTTGACAGTTTTTTGTTTGTTCAAAAGCATTACATTTATTTACAGCGAAGAGTTTTTTAAATATATTAATATCATGTGCTTGCTGTATTGCGCATATTTTCTGATCAAACTTTTTTGTCTGACTAATGTTTTTTCTGCCTGCCTCGTCTTTAACTTTCTCTATCTCCTGAATGTTATGTTTTGAATGCGTGTAGGATGATAAAACTATCGAACTTAAATCATTCTATCTTTTCTTATTTCTTTATGTAGACATGTAGCTTACTCTTTCTTTCCCCTCATCTAGACAATCGACAACTCCGGTGGTTGATATACTGCTGATATTGACTTATTTTAGAATGTCCCTAATTGTGTATATGTCTTTCACACACCATCAGATTTGTTTTTCACTCTGTTTTATTCCTTCTTTCTTTTTCTTTCTCTCTCTCTCTCTTTCTGTTTATTTGTCTATTTCTCAATATATTATCTAATTAGTTTATTGTTTACCTACATGATGAAAAAAAACATGTATTTATTCTTAATTATTCTTTTAAAAGAAAGTATCATGAAAACAAAGGAGTGTTTAACAATTGTTCTTGTTATCGATGTTGTTCTTTTCTTTTTTTTTTTTCTCATTATGATTTATATTAACATAAAAAACAAAAACAGACCAATAAAAAAACTGGATAAACATTGAGTTCTTTTTCTATTTATTTCGTTTGTTTTAGATTTCATATTTTGTAACTACCGAATTCAATCATGACGCGTGGCAATCAGCGGTACAATTAGATTTTAAATGAATAATTTAGTTTCTGGTATTTTTTTTCTAGCGAACTTGCCAGAGAAAAAAATTCTAAAAATCAAAAAAACAAAGCACATTCGATAGCTGAAACCGAAGCTAATAAAGGTTTATCATTACAAGAACGTCAATTACGAGATGCAGCGAGGTATACAAGATTCATATCGGGAAAAACAGAAAAAAAAAAAAACTTTTATTTTCTATTTAGAATGCGTGAGAAACAACAATTAGCTGAACAAAAAAAAGCAGGTGGAAATAATAATGCATCAGGTGGAAGTGGAGCGGCTGCGTCAGCCCATTGAGAATGATATTTGATCAAGATATTTCATATGAACTTTTTGTTTATATTTTTCTTTTTTTCTTTTGATAACAAAAAAAACAAAAAAAAATTTGATTTTGTTTGTCTAAGATTTACTAACATCAACTTGTTCATCTTTTTCTTAACAATATCTAACTAACAACTTCATGTTTGTTTTTTATTAGACATAAATTCAAAAACTCACAATCGCTATTTTATAATTATATTCATTTCGATTTAATGAAACTGTTTGTTATTGATACAATGTTGGTGAATGAAAATACATGGTTAGAGAACTTCTTCAAGTGTTAAATCGCTTTTCAATTGAGACAATGTACATTTGTTGAGTACTAGTCAATAATAAAAAAAGTCTAGAATGGTTTGGTTATTTGGGCTTTCATTCTTGAGGTACAGAAATTTTACTGAGTTTTAAAATAAAAAGCTGTGCACGCCTCAAGTCACGTAGAGAATCAAGTTTTTCGACTTCAATCTTTACATAAACAAAGTTTTCAATAAGATTAGTTCATTAGGCAAGTTGTAGATTTTCTACTATGTCGTATTCTGAGATATTTAATATTCGAAATTCTCTTATGCGCAAAAAGCAAATTTTGTTTTTATATTCACATCTCTAGAAAAGGATACTAGTCTCACAATTAATTAATCTCATTGAGAACTTCAGACGTGTGAAGACGAAATTCGAAAGTCAATTTTTCAAATGGATTGAGGAGGACCATAGGTTTTTGTTGAAAAATTTAGTAAAAGTTACATAGCTCAAGAACGATGATTCGGAAAAACCAAACCATTCTAAGGTTTTTTATTACTATCAAGCACTTATCAAATACTCATTATCTCAATCGAAAAAAGCTTTGACAGAAGATTCGAAATGTTCCTTTATATCAAATTACAATTGATTTTGTATATTCATCTAGTTTATACAATTTTTCGCTAATATATTTAAAGGGCACAGAAATATTAGTTGAAATGAATTCTTCTTTCAATAATTTACTTGCCTATTCTCATAATTCATGTTTAAAAGTTTAAATTTGCTTTAAATGACAATCATATTTATTTTTCAGCTTTATTTATCATATGACTATATCATTCTTTCGTCGTTACAAATTATTTCTTCTTAATGTAACATCTGCATCAGGTCTTCTTACACTTGGTGACTTTTGTGCACAAACTCTCTATGATAAAAAGAAAACTTTAGACAAAAAACGTTTATGTATGCTTATCATTCTATCTAATATCTTCTAATAATATAACTTCTAGTGGCAGCATGCATTACTGGAGCAGCATTGGGTATTGAAGGGCATGTTTGGTATAAATTTCTTGATCGTATTATAGCTCAAGCAACATGGCACAATGCGTTTAAAAAAGTTCTATGTGACCAAACTGTCGCTGCACCTATTTATACAACAACATATATTATTGGTAAGATGAAATTGTTTGAGTATTGATTTATGTTAAGTTTAGTACTTATGATTTTAAGGTACATCGATTTTGGAAGGACGAACATCTTTTAATGCATTAAAAAGTGATACTACAGAAAATTTTCTTCCACTTTATATAGCCGATTGTGTTGTCTTTATACCAACTCAGTTGATTAATTTCAGATATATTTCTGCATATTATCGTGTTCCATTTATGTTCGCTATTTCCTTCATTTTTAATGCATTTCTTAGTGCATATAAACATACACATGAAGGACATGAAAAATAATTGATTAGTTTTGTTTTGTATCTTACTTTTTATGCCTTTATTAGTGTTAAAGAAAAAAGAATTAATTTCAAGAAATGATTTTCATAAGAAGAAATGATTTGAGAATCTAAATTTTAGAATGAATTATTTTATTTAAATGATGGCAAAAAGAAACAATTACAAAACGTCTGAAAACCTAGATTATCATAAGTTGATTTACGCCTTAAGATATTTATTGATGCAGCAACCATCTTCTACTGAACTAGTCATGAAAACTCTACCAGTTACATATGTTTATACACAAATGCTACAAGACTTAAAGGAACAAATATATACTTTGCATATTACTACTTTTAATTCCAACTTATCCATTAATTTCTTCATATCCTGATAAATCGAAGTATTAGTTCCTGCAAATTTTTATTGCGGGAAAGTGTTGCTCTGGCAGGCTGTAAATATCTCTATCATCCTGAATTAATTCGTCATCGCAACGAGTCAAAGTAAATAAGAAACGATCTCCGATCTGTTAATAAATTTATAATGTGCGAATTGTTCTCATGATCAACAACAACCAAGACCATGTTGGTTTTTACACATATTATTTTAAGAAAAAAAAAAAAAGGTAAGAGTGAAAAGTGAAAGAATAACAAGATTACGAGAAATATCTGTATGTCGCAATATACTTCTTATTACATTTTATTTGAAGAGATACATGGTCTTATTGCATCAGATACATGTTGCGATGATGAAATTAGGCCAACAATAGAAAAATCTGTTGTTTGCTAGAGCGACAACTTTGTTAATATAATAAAGAATACGAGTACAATGCAGTTAAGTCAATACTTCGAGATAGTCGAATTACGTAAAGATCATCTGCAATGTTTAGAGAATGTACTCGATCAGATTAGGTTTATCAATCAATCGATTTAACAACTATTACATGTTTATAGATGAATAAATGTCCTTGTACACAGTCTATCTCTATGCCTTTTTTTTTGAAAGAAAAAGCCTCTCTAGTATCAAAAGATTTCTCTCGTGACACAACTTTATTGTCCTTGGAACTCTGTCCGATTAGTATGAACCAATTACTTATATGATAATGCTAACTTGTAATAAAGAAAGTTTCCCTTATAATTAAGATGCTTGGCATATGTTCCGTCTACATATTTGGACTTTTCTTTTTCCTACGTCTGTCATGACTGATATGATAAGACAACGATGGAAGATGGCATGTGTTTGATGATGAAAATAATTCTTGCTTCTGGGTCCATTTTGTGGTTACGATAAATGTTTAATATCTGCTCGCATTGGTTTGACAGCTGTTGTTAGTCTTCTTAAGATTAAGCTATTACAAGTGGAGATACACACATCGATTGAAAATGTTCGAGTTTAATTGGCTTCATACTATAAATCGTCTTAACGCTACAGTGTGTATTTAAGTTCGGTTCACTTGGGTTTTTTCGATACGAATTTCAGTTTAAAAATTTATAAGAAATACTATTCTTGGATTGGAATGGAATTTCTGATTATCTAACTATTACTCAAGGGCTTTCTTTTTTTGAAACATTTATTTAATCATCTCAACTTAGTCGAGCAATAGATGTCACATATGGCCAAATCTATTCATTTCCTTGACAGTCAACCAATAGAAAAATGCAATTAGTTGTCGATTGAAAACTATTATTTGGAAAAGAAAGGAAGTGATAATCGTGATAATCTTTTCTTTGTTTTATTCGTATTGACGAAAAACATGATTAAAAAATAAGCGAAAAAAATTGTTTAGTTATAATAAACAAAAGGCATCAATAATGATTGATTAAATCTCATTGTTCATCGAAAGTTTCATTTAATGAAATGATTGAATATCTTTGTACGTTGTAAATATTTTATTTCCTGAAACGATAAAATCAATTTCGGCATTTTATTTCATTAGATTTGATGGATAGATTTTTTAATCATTCACCATTATTCGAAACAAATAGTCACTATCCTACGTGGATTTTAACATCTATGAAACAAACACAATTCTCAAATTTCAAGCCATTGATACCGATCTAAAAGAATAAAATCGATGAAATGTTTTATTTCTTTTGTAGAAATCTTAAAAAATAAACAAATTTATTCATATGTCTACTTCAATTCAACAACCAACACAACTTACTCGTGATGAAACGCGTATATTAGAAGAATGTGAACAAGAATCATTAATTTATCGAAGTTTACCATTTAGTGTTTGTGCATTTTTTGCAATACAATATGCTATGTCAAAAAATATCATTTCAACAAAAGCAAAATGGTTTAAACTTGGTGCTGGTGTATTTGCTGGTTATATGATTGGAAAATTTTCTTATGCCATAGCTTGTCAAAAGAAAATTCTAATGAAAATTCCTGATAGTAATTTAGCAAAAATAATTCGTGGTGTTGAAATTCGACAAATATCAAATATTAATGTTAATAATCACGAGCAAAGGCAAACGAATAATTTGAACGAAGCTGTTATACTTGAATCAGATACTCATCTAACATCAATAGATATTAATCAATATGGTGATCCAATTTATAAGACAAATAAATAAATGAAATGTGTTTTCTATTGATGATTTTCGATTATGTATTTATGGATAATAGATAGTTTATAATAAATTGTTTATTTCTCGATAAAATATTTATAAACTTCTTTTTCATGTTTTCTTTTCGTTTATTTATAGATATATTAGATTAGACTTAGAATAAACGTATTCAAAGATATACAATAAAAAAAAGGAATATATATATATTGTCGACAATATTGGAATTCAGCCTAATTTTGGATGCGCCCAGGCAAATTTGAAAGTCCAATATCGTTCATACTCATCTTAGACAAAGTTAGAATTTCACTTTTGATCAAACGAAATTGAAACAGTTTTTCATTTTCATGGACTGGAAAAGTTGAACAAGGACAAACAATTACAGTACCAGAAAAAAAGTTTGTTTTTCTTTTTTATTTTATAATATATCTTAATTATCTCAAGGATAAAACTGAATACATATTGTAATTGTTTCTCTTAGATCCTAAGCCTCAGACAGTCCTCTTTGAAATACTTGAATTGTTTTTTTTCTTTGATTTCTCTGACATATAAACAATTTATTCCAATGTCGTTTGATCATTAGCAAAATTCTAATTTTATCTGATATGATTATAAATGAAATTACAATTTCAAATTTGTGTAAATGAATTCGAACTTTATCTACAACATATATTCAATAAGATTTATCTCTCTTTATCAATTGGTTGTATGCATGATTAATCTTTATTAGAATCATCTAGACAATTTATGTTTTTACATATACTTTAATGTATATTCATAATTATGTTGTCGTATTTTTTCGGTTCGATAAACTTTAAATACGATAGATAGATCAAAGGCGAGTAATGTTTTTTTTTTTTTCACACGATAGACTTCCATACTTAATAGAAAATGTTTCGATGGTATTCTATTCATCTGCTTTTGATTACGTATGAGAATGGAAATAAACGTCTGTAACCAAATCCATTTGTCAGATGATTTATATGAAAATGTGTAATGCATTCATATTGCATAAGAATATATAGATTGATAGATACTCTTTCATTAAAAAAATTCACCCGTATATATCCATAGAAGTTTTTGTGTACATATTCATGTCAACACATTATATAAATAAAATCGATATTCTTCAAATCTATTCATAGATCAAAAATGTAATGAAAGGAATGTGGTTTTAATAATAGAAGTTAAATAAAAGAGGTTGAAGTATTTAAAGTGTTTAAGTGTTTCTTTAAACAAAAACAAAAAAAAGAAATGATTATATATAATAAAATGCGTTCACATTGAATTGCCTCCCATGAGTTTATTATTAATTGCACACTACATTAAGATAAATTTTTCTTGTCAAAATATAACGAGCGAGAGATAATTGACGGTGTACAACACATTGTTTTCTTTTTGTCATATTGCTCTACTCAACATGAAAATATAACTCTAAGTGAAAATGACAAGAAGACCGGTAATGTTGTCCATGTAGATAGAACAATTCATTAAGTCTCGTTTTCCTTTATTTTATCAGTCACGACAAAATGTCGGTCAGTCATTTAACTCGTCTCGCCTTCTATTTTTTTATCTTGAGACTGACCGATCGACCACTATCATTCTTCTTTCTCTTATTCTTTCTTTCTTTCTATTTTTTTTTCTCTTCTTCTTTTTTCTGTTTTAGCATTTTTTTGTTCTGCTAACGACATCAACGATATAATGCAGACAGAACGAGAAAAGTTCTAACTACTGACGATATTCTTTCACGTCAACAACAAATGATAACAATCAAGTAAGAACTACAGCAGTATACAGAGGCAACGAATAGAAACGAACAATGCAAAAAAACACAAGAACAAGAAGAAATCGTGCTAATAACAACCATACAACTGCAATAGCAACGCATACTTCGTTGTTCTGAACATTTATCCGTTGCAAAGTCAATGTACGTGTTGTACAAATATTTATAGAGTGAAGAAAAAAAGAAAGAAAGAAAGAAGAGAAAAGAAACGTCTATGTATTTCACTTCACCAATAAGTATGATGATCATGCTTCAAGCACGTTGTCGGCCAAAACGTTGATCCTCATCACATTATTAAATACATCATGTTATTTCAACATCTCTTCTTTTTCTTTTTATTCTATCCAATAATGGTGGAAATGGTAAATGATCTTTATCTTTAATCTCTTCCTCTAACATTTTTTTTTTTGTTGTTGTTCATCTAGGTAAGATTTAATGAGCACCATAAACGTCGTCATATGTCTTTGTCGACAATACATCTAGTAAAATCATATCTCTATCTGTTTAAAAATAAGTAATGTATTTTTATCATTTATAGAATTTAACTGTCAATGCTGTTTATAATAAACTTAATCAGCATACATTAAATATTAATAATACACGTATAATTAATATTGAACCACATAATAAAGTTTGGTTTTCAATTGTAAATGGGACAATTTATGCATTACCACTATTTGGTGATTATGCAGGACCATTTAAAATTCAAATTGAAAATTCAAATTTTATTAAATTTAAATTTAATTTTTCACCATCATCATCATTATTTTCACCATCAAAACATCTCTTACTTGCTTTATTTAATATATCATCAATAACATTTAATAATTCGTCATTAAATCGTTATTTTATTATTCAAACATTATCATTAGCATTAAATTTAAATGATTCATTATTAACAATACATAAAATAAATGGTTCAATGATAAAAGTTTATTTTTCATGTGATTTATATTCATCAAAAGATCTTCCATATCAAATACAAATATTAATTGATCATTATTATTCTAAACGTTTAGAATTAATGAGATATTTTTCTTTACCATTAATTGAAATTTCAATTGTTCGATTATCTAAACAAATAACAACAACGCCAATTGTTGAAATAAAAAAAGCATTTATGACAATTCGACCACGTTTATTTAATAATCAAACAAATATTTCATTAAGAAATAATCTTATTTTTTTTGATCAATTTTATCAACCACTTGTTATTGTTCCATTAACAATAATTTTAATTGGTTTATTAATTTGTACAATAATTGCATTTTGTCTTTGTTGTAATCGTCATACAACATCATCATCATCAACATTACTTTTATCAAATGGATCATTTATTAATCCAAATAATAAACATTTATATCAAAATTATTCATATCAACAACATCGACAACAACAAGAAATTTATAGAAAAAAACATTATATAAAAGATCAAAAACAATTTATTTCTAAAGGTGATTTATTTTCTTTGAAATTATTGTTTTTTTTTATTATTTTATTTCTTGTAATAGGCATTCCTGTAGTATTTGCTGAAGAACTTGAAGAAAAATTAGAACAAACACATACACCTTTAGTTATGCGAATTGAAAAAGCATCATTTTATAATGAACAAGGAAGAAATGAATTGGGAAAAGTCATACCTTAAATCAATATTTGATCTTGTTTGTTGTTTTTTGTTTTCTGTAGATTAGCAAAAGTTTTTCCTCTTTTTTTTTTGATCTCATTGAAAAACATTGCATATGTATGTAATAAGTGAATATTTTCTTAATATTTCTTTATAGTCTTCTGTAATTAACTCAGGTTTTACACTTTTTTTGCCTCTGTGTACAAGAAAAGTCTTGAGCTATCAAACAAATTAGAAGAATTTCTTTTCGTTTAATTCTTCTTTTGGTGCTTCCATTAATTTGAAAGTATTTTATTCTCTATGCATACGAATATTTCTACTCATGTAAATGGTATTATATTGTCGTTGTTGTTTTTTTTTTGTTGTTTCTTATTTCAGATATGAAAAGGATTATTGATACTCTGTTGCAACACACAAAGATTAATTTGTCAAATATACGTATTAAACAACAACAACAAAGATCCATCCAAACATCAACATATCATTTTGCTAGCGTTGAAGAAGTAATTTTTAGTTTTCATATGTTAGAGCTCCGAATGGGACGAAAGAATCATTCGATGGGATCAATTGGTTCGTCCCATTCAATCCTATAGATTCCAAGTAGAGAAATATACGACACAGAAATCTGAAAGTTTGCCAGGTTCGAAACTACGAGAAAGAAGCTGTCTCAATCAGAGCTGAAAATTATACTTACATATCATATGGTTTCAAGCAAAACATCTTATAAATCAGAACATTATTAAAGAAAGATGATCCCCTAATTTGCTAGTCGTCAACTAAATAAATCAAAAAACGAGTATTAAAGGATACTTTTGGATGTGATACGAAGAAATTCTGGAATAGTTTTCTCTAGGCCAAGAACAGGACCAAAAAACTTGTCTCAAGCATTTCTAATACCAAGAAACGATTCTTACTAGTCTTTTCAAACATGATATCTTAAGTATTAAAAAGAAATACTATTACTTTTTCAATATGGTTTCTATTTATGAATTCTTAGCTTCTGATGAATTTACTTAATTTTCTCAGATTACCAAGGATCACTGATGACTTTTTCATAGTCTAGTGTAATTTGGTGGGCTTCTTCATATTTTGTGAACTCTAGTGAATTCTGTAATTATTAAAATTCAATAGAGCCCATTAGAATTTTCTCTTTATCCTTTGGTATTCTCTAAATAAAACTTATCATACATAAACTATGTTGACAATTAAATTGAAGTGAAGATTGTAAAAATTCCCTATGGTCACAACATTTTATTCAAAAAATCAACAATTACGGTGAAGAAGTATTCAAATTGTTTAATGAGCCTGCAGCACACAACACTTTACGAAATCAGTGTTAATTTTCATTGTTTAAACTTCTATAGAAATATTACAAGTGTTTACATAAAATAATTCAACCAGAAAGAAAGAAACGAAACTGTCTATTGATGAAAAAGGTCAACAATAAGAGTATAATAAGTCCTAGTACCCAATGTACCTCTACAGCACTAGTCCAAATTTAACAGACAATGTCTATATTTTTTAATGATGCAAAGAACAGAAAGAAAACTTCCTGAGACAAGAGCTTCGTTCCAACACATTCCATTCGCAGTCTTTCATGTATTCATATCAAATTATTATCATTTTTTTTAATAGCAAGTAAAAGAACAACAAAAACGAAATGAAGAAGTACAAGATATGCCAGAATTAGTCCGAGATTTTCTTGATCCAGCTGAATTTTTTCAACAAGTAAAATCGATCTGTGGTATTAATTTTTTTTGTGGTGTACCTGATTCATTGCTTAAAGGTATGTTTATCAATTTCTAATTAAAAAAAAAGCAAATTCTATTTATTTGATTTAGATTTTTGTGCATATGTAACAAAAAATGTTCCATCTAGTCATCATGTTATTGCAGTGAATGAAGGTTCTGCTATTGGTCTTGCTTGTGGTTCATATATGGCAACAGGTCACCCCTCATTAGTCTATTTACAAGTAAACATAAATGCGTCAGTTCGAATAAATCTAGATTTCATTGTTTTAGAATTCTGGTCTAGGCAATATTGTTAATCCTATCATGTCTCTTGCAACACCAGGTGTTTATAGCTTACCAATGTTGTTATTAATTGGTTGGCGTGGTGAACCAGGTAAACGAGATGAACCACAACATCGTATTCAAGGACCTGCAACACCTGGTATTCTTGGTAAGAATAGTTGTTGGCACAATCCATGCGCAACTAAACTGTAAAACACGATGTAGCTTCCGTTGCTAATCACAGAGAGATAACCTACATGTACAAAGTCTTTGCGTAATATGTCCGATCAATTTTCGTCTAATTAGAAGTTACTGAAAAGCATCAATAATAATTAGCTAGAATCAGAATCTTACACAATTTCTGGCTTAAAATTAGACTATTGAGAGTAAATCTTTGATAGAGGCCCAATCGATGTTTAAAGACAACGCTAAATAAAAATGTATTAGCAAATGTATTTACTTTTTTTTTTTTGAACACTTAAATGTCATGAAAGAAAATCAAAAGCAATCAAATAGAATCAGAATTAGATACTCTTTCTAAATGAATATTCAGAATTTTTTTTATTGACTTGCTATTAGTTATCTGTGAGCAAACATTTGAATAAATCAAAAGTTTTGTTTCTATTACGCGAAATAGACTTTCTTCTATCGTTCATAACTTCTATGAATGAGATTTAAGGTTTGTTTTGACTTTCTAGTATTGGATTGGATTTAATTTTCTACTAAATCATACATTAAAATAAGCTATGGCTAAAAAAAAGAATGAAATTTCTGTAAACACTTTTCAAACAGTTACTATTCTCTGGTAAGACGACGATTTTTAAAAAACATCGCTTCTTTCGAATTTCGGTGTATAGAATCCAATAGATTTTGATCGTTTGCATTAGTATAGAAAAAAGAAATAAATTTAATGCTCTGTAGAGCAAATCTCAGTTTACAAACTGGTGTATACAAAGACTATTTTATAGTTTGAATTAAAACAATTTTTTATAAAAATTCAAAACTGAACAAAACGAAAAAAGGTTCGTTCTCAATATGAAAATTTTAAGCCAAAAACAAATTTCTGAGTATATCGTAGGAAAGTGTGTGAAATTTTGATTCTAGTTGCCTACTGTTGATCCTCTCTAGTGACATATAAATAGACGAAAGTTGATCAGATATTGTTGTGCCAAGACTTGTCACACATAGTTTAGCTCTACAATCTATCTATTTTGAAACACATTTCTTCATCATCCTTTTACTTCATTCTTCATAAATGCGATAAGGAAGTAGTTCATATAATATAATGAGACGTTATTGATAGACGGTGTACCAACAACATATGTCACATTCTGTAGGGAGCGGCGAATCTAAATTTTTACCTCTATACTTCAAAATTCGTTTTAGATTGATGTTTCTCAAGATATTGTTTAGTAAAATTTTAATTGAATATTTTATTTTCATAGCTGCACTTGGTATTCCTTTTCAACCATTACCGGATTATCATGATGGTGCTGGTCAAGCACTTGAAACAGCTAAACGTTATATGGAAACAGCAAAAGGTCCATATGCATTACTTGTTAAACGGCAAACATTTTTGCCATATGCATTACCAAAAATGCGTGCAGATCTAGAAGCTGGGTAATGATTTAGTTTAATTTTGTTTAAATGAAGTATAGAACAATGATAAGATTTTTATTTATAGATTAAGTTTAACACGTGAAGAAGCCTTACAATGTGTTACTAATCATTTTCAACATCGAGATGTTATTGTTGGTACAACTGGAATGCTAAGTAGAGAATTATTTGAACTTCGAATGAAACGTGGTGATGGACATGAACGAGATTTTTTAACTGTCGGTGGCATGGGTCATGCATCATCAATAGCATTAGGTATTGCTATACAAAAACCAAATCGAACTGTAAGTTAATTTTTTGACATTTTTTTTTTCTTTTTATCTTAATTTTTGAAATGAATATTTAAAAGATATATTGTTTGGATGGTGATGGTGCTGTTTTAATGCATATGGGTGTTTTGGCAAATATTGCTGCGGCTGCACCATCAAATTTCAAACATATTGTATTTAATAATGGTACACATGATAGTGTCGGTGGTCAACCAACAGTTGCTGGTGATTATAGACAATTTTCACTCTGTCGAATAGCTCAAGGTTGTGGTTATAAACATGTAATGATAGCAACAAATGAAAAGGAAATAAATGAAGCAATGGAAAAAATACGTGCAATAAATAATGATGGTCCAGTTTTACTTGAACTTCGAATTAAAACAGGTCATAGAAAAAATTTAGGTCGACCAACACGATCAACGAATGAGAATAGAAAAGATTTTATGCACTTTTTACAACTCAGTTAAATATTTTAGTTGGTTTTTTGTTTTTTTTCTTTCATTTTATTGTTTTTATTATCTGTTATTATGGACAAAACAAAATATCTCAAAATTAAATTAATATATATTTAAACTTTTTGTTTTCTTTTTCAGATGCGTGCGTCATTAGATGATAAAGAAATTACACGTGAATTATGGCAATCACGTTTGCCAATATGTTTCATGTTATCGGATGAAGATAAAAGTAGAACTAATCGATCCGAATCACCAGAACCACTCTATTTATTGCTTCCACGACAAAGTTATTTTCCATGTATTACTGAAAAAATTCATCGATATTTTTCAACTTATTTTAAAGAAAATCTAAATGATACAACAAATTATATTAATTTTGCTAATTTATGGCTTGAATATGAAAGTATTCCACTAAAATGGCATTATCCTATAGGAGTACTTTATGATCTTTATACATCATCACTTTCATCAACAGTACCCCATTTACCATGGCAAATAACTGTTCATTTAAGTAAATTTCCTGAAGGTGAGATAATACGTTTCCCCGATAAAGAAACAATTGAAGCACATTATATGTCAACATTAAAAGAAGCTGATGCACTTAAACATCGAGGACAAATACTAGGTGATATGCAAAAACGTGATCATAAACAACTATGGAATTCTTTATTACAAGATAAATATGATGGATTTTGGAATATAAATAATAAATTAATGAGTTATACAGAAAATTTACAATATTTTCGTTACATACCATTTCGCATTTATATCTTAGATAAACCATTTATACAAAAATTATTTTCACCATTTGATGTTGAAGAAGAAAAATGGATGACATTATATGATTTACTTCATTTTGCTTTAAATCATGAAGCACAATGTGAACAATTAACAAACGAAAAAAAAGTTTTAAATACAAATATTAATGATTATCAAGTTATTATTCATGGTATACAACCACCACTTCAAACACCAATACAATGGCTTAGTGAATATTTTTCTTATCCGGATAATTTTCTTCATATATGTCTTATTGAAAAACGTTCATAATTTTATTTTTTCGTTTTATTATTTTTTTAAAATTAAATTAATTTTATATTTATGTGAATGTGTTTGTTTGTCAAAATTCTTTGTGTTGTAAAAATTTAAAAAACGGATTAAATTTGAATATTACATCAACAACATCATCTAAATATTAGGACAATGCCGTCATAGACGATCTTGTTTCGATTAAACATTGAGTTCGAAAGTTTATCTTGCAAAAAACCTTCGACAATATTTTAAGAAGCAAGACTTCAAAGGAGAACAATAGTATTATATTTATTCAGACTTGAGATTTGTTTTATTTGGCTAAATGAGCAGATCTCCTGACTCTTAGGAATGCAGACAATTTAAAAAACAAAATAAAACTATTATCAATAATTAGAACTGTATGAGGTCATTTCCACAGTTCATAAATGATACATTAGAATATCATTTATGTCAGAAAAATGTTCTGTACTTGTCAAAATCTTGAAATGCAGAAATTAACTATTTTCTTCTTCGAGGCTTTGTAGTTGATTCATGTCATTTTTGGTAATGTATTACCAATATAGAAGAAGCGTTACTTTAAGAGAGTTTTTTTGCAATATGTCTTTTTCTTACAGGTCAGTATGCAAAAAGTCATCAAAATCCAAAAGCTTGATTATATTTTCTGTCATATTCTGTACAAACTCAACTGCAGTATGAACTCAATTTTTCAGGCTTCATGCCTGCTTAATGCCATATGCGCCAATTTAATAACAGAGCTGGGAAAATTACTCACAGTACTCGTACTTGAGGATTGAATACTCGAAGTCCTAGATAAGTATATATTATATCAAAATGATGCTTGATATATATTCAGATAAATACATCGAAGCCATATCATGATATAACAATAGGCACACTGTTTATTTTTTTTATTCTGTTTGTTGTAATATTACAACTTAACAGGGATGTGGGTCTGAGTGACAGTAAAGAGAAGATCCATACCTGAGCTCTAAATCATTTCCTATTGAAAGAATACTTTTTCCAAGTGGTTTTGTAATACGTCCACATCACGCCTCGTTAACTTCAAAAAATATATTCTTGCTAACTATTCTTAATTATGTAATAATGTTCTGATGTAGTTTAATTGCTTGAAACTTGATTATAAAAAAATAATAATAAAATTTTGATTCATGACTCTTACAACGTCTTGATCTCAAAACTGATACGTCTTTCTAAAACTATCAATTAAATATTCTCTAGTAAGATCTTAGGAAACTTTTGCATACTTTCGTACTCATGAAAACTCGTACTTGTCCCGTTCTGTTTGACCAAATAAATCATTTTTAATAAAGGACTAAAAGTGATTGAAGCGTTACTACTCATATTTTTTCATACGAAATGACTTGAATAGTGATCATATTTCATTCTGGATACTCTATCTCAAAAAAATCAGATGAATGCGAGTGTGCATTTAAGTTCGTCGTTTGTATGTTGGTGGTCTTTTTTTCATCCACATTCGGAGAACAGAAATGACGCTCACATAGTCTTATCAACAATAATTACAAGATTAAACTTGGTGTTGCGCAATAGTGACACGAATATATCATCAAATTGTGTAAAAACAAAGCTCAAGGAGTCGTTTGTCAGCTCTTCAATGCAATGTTCGAAATCTACCAGTCAACTTATCATATTCGAATATTTAGAGGATCAAGCTAACGCAATATTTTTATTTACCGTCGGCTGTGATAAGGAAATATAAACTAGAGTATCGTGAGACTTTTCTCCATTAGCTTGTATCATTTTATCTCTTATCTGAGAACCTTTATCAGCGACACTATATAAGAATCCCAAACTTGCATTTATATTAGTGTTTTTCGGCGACACGACAATAATGAAGATTATTACACGTTTAGTTATTGTTTTGAATCTATATTTGATTCATCTGAATATTGTATTTGCATTGAGCACATCCAAGATTCGTGAGGTAACTACTACAACTACTACTAGTGGAAGCTCGTTGCCAACATCATCTCCTTCTATAACATCATTTGATAAAATAAATATTTTATTGGCACGAATTGTTCAACTACAACCTACATCATCACCAAGTGATTATTCAGCGGAAATAACCTGTGATGATCCAAGTATTCTTCCTTATGTTCAAGCATATGTTACTCAAGATTCGACATTAATTGTTTCAGCGACAACCGATTGTGATGTGCTTATTCGAGCCTATACTTATCAAAAAATACATATTGACAGTGTATCGAAATTAACCATGACAGATTATTCATATAAGGGGTATCAGTTAGCATTAATCAGCATGGGAGATGCAAATATTCAAATATCTAATATTGGCTTTGATTTAGCAGAATTCAATTTCTTTGGCAATGGGTCAGCGAAACTAAGTGGGAATATCGGTAAATTAACTATTGTTAGTCGAGGCAAAGGATACGTTGATGCAACTAATATAGCAACGCCAAGTGTCACCGCTACTTTGACGGGTAGTGGTTCACTTCAGTTGAAATCAACAGCTAATATGAATTTAAGTGTCGATGGTACGGGTAATCTAGCCTGGTGTTCACCAAAGGTTCAAATGGATGTAACATATGATATCTATAAAAAGAAAAACATTCTTTATCAATGTTAAACTATTAAAGATAATAAAACTGATCATCTAAAGTGAAAACTTATCAAAGTATTCAATGAATAGATCAACATATAGGGTTCTATTGTTTTGTTATCAGTAAAATATTGTCATTGTACATTCAAATAGCATAGAACTATTAATTTCATTCATTCATATTCGATTCAGTTTTGTGCAAATAAAGATCGGACGGTATTTTTTATGGTAGTTTAGAAATGCAACAAAACAATAGTTTCTGTTCAGCTGAATGTAATTTTGTACTCGTGAGCAAATAATCTATTATGATAATTAATGAATTTTCCAATACGGTATCAACTAAAACTACTAATTTCTTTGTTCACATTTTGATGTCAATTATATCGTTAGTACACAAATGAAATTCTATTGAGCTAAACCAGCAGAATTCCTCAAAGAAAACTTTGTCGATCTTAAGATTATATTCAATATTCAATGAAATTTTACTTGTTGAAGAATCAAGAATTGAAACAATAAGCACAAATATTTCAATAAAAAAGTATCCGATGTTTAATTGAAGATCAGAAGGAGTAATTAAATTTTAATTTAAAAAAAACTTGAAAGAATATACAGTGCAGCTCAATAGAATTTACCCCCTTTGTATTCTTCCTTTTTCTCAACCATAGTTTGGTCTTTTCTTTCGAAGTCACCTACCAAAAGAAAGAGCAGAATCTGCTGCATCTTTTGGTATATGAAACTTATAGATGAGATCGAAAGAGAGCAGAGAAAAACACATCGAGGAAAAAAAGTAGATTTTTTTCACTACAATGTTGTGCATAACCTTTTGTTAGGGGGAGGCAGCACCATGTTTTTGAGTTGGATACCTGATGAATTTTATACCAAATGAAAGCTCGTGAAAAATAGAATTTATGCTTCCATTTAGTTACACTTAAAATATGGAAAAGAGGTGATAAATCCTAGAAAATCTCGAACTTCGTGTATTTTTTGCTGCAATTTTGCAATTATTTAAGGATGAAGGGGCCGGACTTTTCTAGTTACTCACACTTGTAGACCCTTCCACGCTGATCATTTCGGCTGAATTTATTTTGAGTTTTTCTAAAATAATTATAGCATCTGGGTTGCAATACTAATGAACTGCTTGGTTCCATCATCCACACCACCTCCAAATCATGAATATTGTTATCGGAGCATTGTCATTTTGTAAGCGAAACTCGAAATAAATTCAGCCAAGATGATCAGCGAAGAAAGTTCTATAAGATTGAGTAACTAGAAAACTCTGACTCTGTTACCTCCCTCTAGCAAAAGATTATGCACAACATTGTAGTGAAAAAAAATCTACTTTTTTTCCTCGATGTGTTTTTCTCTGCTCTCTTTCGATCTCATCTATAAGTTTCATATACCAAAAGATGCAGCAGATTCTGCTCTTTCTTTTGGTAGGTGACTTCGAAAGAAAAGACCAAACTATGGTTGAGAAAAAGGAAGAATACAAAGGGGGTAAATTCTATTGAGCTGCACTGTAGATAGTACAAGATATGACTGTTAAATAATTGTATTAAACACATATGAAATATTTACTCAATAATAAATTTCATAATAAAAACAACAGCTTTAAATTTCACTTTAATTACAATTTATTTAATTATTTCTTTTATCTAAATAATGTATAAATGCTTCGACAGTTTGAATATCATTATCAAGCCAGATGTTTTTTATGATTTATAAACCAAAGAACATGAAGTAAAAACAATGTATGGTGATCATCTATTTGTTTCTCCAAGCAATCATCTTGGTAGTGTATCATTAATTGATTTTCATGTCAACTTTAGGTCTTATTTGTTTGTAGAGTATGGGTGTGTGTCTATTCTTTTCAGAATACCACGTACAGATCTACACTCATGACTTCAACAGTTTATTCTTTTTTATATGCAACATTACCTTATTTGAACTTGTTGTAGGCACACTATTCTTGTCTGTTTTCATCTAATCATTCAACTTTATTCAGAAGACAATATGTCACTTCGCATTTTTCATCACTATAATTAAACCCTATTCTTCAAAGGCAGCAAGAAGTATGGGTGTAGGGTGTGACCGAATACTCTCAAGACTATTGGCATCTATGCCACACCCATACTTTTCAGCTTGCTATAGAATGAGTTTCATTTAGGTGAGAATATATCTCAATTTAGATACATCTAGGCTATTGTAAGAATGACTTAAGAAAAAAAGATTCGAAGGAATAAGTAACATAAAAAAGCACTGGTAGAGTAAATGCAACTAGGAACCCGATCAAAGATAAGCAGAGTGTTGTAGTGTTTAATAAAGATGTTTCAAATAATTACGATTTTCGAAAAAAATCGACAACAGTCGCCAAGTTTAGCAATCTTCGTCACGTGAAAATTAACTTGTGTAATAAAAGAACACTTTTCTCTGCAACATGTCTCAAAATAGCGGCACATAAATATTTACATCAACACCATTTGCTATGGTTGAGTGAGTATTCGACTAGGTAGTACGCTTCGAAAAAAGTATATTCTTTCACCTGTAGTGGAATAAAAAAAAAAGAATCGAACCAAATATAAAAACTATATGCACCTATTACCCCTTATAGTGTTTCTAGTATCATTTTTTTAAGCAAGGTAAGTGGGTGAGTCTCTTTTCATATCTTTTCTTCAAGATAATTCGAGGTATATTTTGAACGAATATGTGTCGTAGCTGATGAAAAAATACTCATGCAATAAATAGATAATTTTGAAGGATTGAATCATTTAATGGTGTTTCTGCTCCATATGATTTATGAGAAAATGCATGATCTATTTGTTCTGATAACTCGATGCACATATGCTTTACAGTGTTCGTATAAGAATCAAAATCGTGAATACAACTAATCTAGTACCTCAACATAGGAAAAACTTCTAAATCTCATCTCATTTTATCATATTTCAACCATTTTATCTTTCTGGATTTTATATTAAAATATACAGTTATATATGTTCTCTTATCAAAATAAAATAAAGTTTACTGACGAAAGGACCGAATAAAATCTTTTTCTTTACTGCAAGGAAGTTGTATATATATATATAAAGAAAGATATAATAGACGAGTTCGATCACTACATTTTTTATCTGAGTTAAAGTATGAATAAATCATTGTCCTCTATCTGATTAGCCATGGTAAATGATTGAAATATTATCGAAAGCTAAATTTTTACAAGGGCTCCTTTCAGACACACTCATACAGTAGGCTTTCACTTTATTGATACGATTCGTTTTCTTGGACAGTAAGGATATGAGCCATGTGATGACACGAAAACTTGGAAAATCAAAACCCAAAAGGCCAAAAATATTGATAGTATCTTAATTTATGTGACATGCTTTTTTAAACTTTGGTAAAAAAAATTCATAAAGAATGAACTAGAGGAAGGCTCCGTTTTGATTGTTCTCTGATAAGCCTACATTGTAAAATCATCGTAGATTTATAAATCCTAAAGATTTATAAGACTTTTTTATTTTATTAAGCTTTTTGTTTTAGGAATTAATGTCCGAAGGCCTATTAATACACCCCCAATGAATAAACATTGACAAAATGACAACTGAAAGAGGAGAAGAGAAACAAATGCAAACAAGTGACAAAATTAAAAAAAGTGACACACACCGAAACATATTAATTTTTTACATTACAAATATAAAAATACACACACCACCTATCAGATGCAAAAGGAGAAGAAGAGAGAAGAGAAAGGAAGATGAAGAGATATATCTGACTCTAAGACTACATAAACGACTCCGAAAATGTCGCCAGGATTTCTATTTCATGTTCGTCAATCAAAGGACTAGAACTCGAACCACACAATTCGACCCATTTTAGGCATTTCTCTATACTAGTGTCATAATGTAGAAAACTTTTAGATCTACATAAGTGTTTGATCATTATATCTTTGTCTAATCATAACTTTCGATACAAATTATGTGAGGCTTGTTCAAAAAGAATAAATCCATCTGTAGAATCTGCTAAAACATTTCTATATCTAAACCAATAGTTCTAACATAAATTTTCTAATGACAACTCATTATAGATAGTAGTGAAAACTAAATCATTCCAAAAGTGAATACCTAAAGTTCGTTTCAAGCAGGTAAAATAAAAATGTCCTAAATCATCTCTTTGACAATCTGTGAATAACGAATAGATGCCATACAGCCATGTAAATAATGGCATAACATACGTAGAGAACAAAACGCGTCTTAGTTTTAGGGAAGAAGTGCCATACTATCTGCAAGATCTAAGTATGGCAACACGTTGTCTGATCTTACATTTAAATGTAGAGATCATTTTATCCCAGCTTAGTTTCGACGATAAATGATAATAAGATTTATAAGACTGTTCCTATGTGTCTATCCTTTGAAAGATATACAACATTGTTATAAAACTTCAAAGGATTTTGACTACATCAAATACTTCTATCGTTTATTAATCTACTCTTAAGAGTTGATTATTGTCTTCTTATCGAAAGGGAATACACAATTTTCTCAAAATTCAAAGTTGTGCTGCAAAAAAACAAATTTTTGAGAGAACCATATAGTTTAATACGGAATTTTGTATTGAAGCTTCTTGGTACGAGGAATAATCTAAAAAGTTCAATTTTCTCTGAAAGAACAATCCAATAAATAAGACAATCTCAAGTACAAATCTACTTCGTAAAATAAAATGTAAGTGTAAACTCCAATTCAAAATGGAAGCAATTCAAAGCTATTGGAGTAGATCTTGTTACATAATTAAATTATGTCAGAAAAAGCATCTTTTTTTTTGCCTTCGATTCAGATGTTTTTATTTGCGAGTTTTTTTAGCACAGGTCACTTCGAATGTTTACGATATCGAGTCGGAATAATAGAGTTTTAAAAAAACGAAAACCAAGTTTAAACAAAGAAAAGAATTATCTCTCAAGTTGATTAACTTAATACAGATGTTGGTTTTTCAGTGAAAAAAACTGTTGATCAGCTCTTGGAAAACTCTTCGTGTTCATATAAATAATAATGTTAACATTCATTTTACTGATTCATGAAAAATTCAGTTTGAATTTCAGAGTGACACTAAGAAGTCAGTAGAAATGATAAATTCAAATAGATAGAACTGTTGTTGACACTCATAGTCCGCTATACTTTATCAGTGCGATTTGTACATTATATTTATACAAAATTTCTTTCTAGAAAGGAAAAAATAATTTACCAGGATTTCTTTTCTAACAATGCTTGCTGAATAGGTGTCTTCTGTTTTCTTAGACAGCAGTTCAAACACAATCTCCTACCATATATACACGTGAACATATATTGTTATCGTTTTCTAAATCTAATAATTTTCTAAGATGCCCAAGTTAGTCGAGAAACTTCGACAAAATCCAATGGCCATCGTAGTCTCGGCTTTCGCTGCCTTTGGTGGCTTCTTGTATGGTTACGATACTGGTACGATTTCTGGAATCATCGATATGAACTATTTTCTTCAGACCTTTGGTACTCGCCAGTCAAGTGGGACGTATCAGCTTACTTCGCAGGACAAGAGTTTGATTGTGTCTATTCTATCAGCAGGTACATTTTTTGGTGCATTGCTTGGTTATCCATCCGGTGATTTTCTCGGTCGCCGTTGGGGATTAATTATAGCATGCTTAATTTTCTCAATCGGTGTTTCGTTTCAAGTCGCTGCTACCAAACTTCCTCTATTCGTTGTAGGACGTGTTGTTGCAGGACTCGGTGTTGGCATAATTTCATGTATCGTTCCTATGTATCAATCGGAATGTGCTCCTAAATGGATTCGAGGCACTATCGTTTCGGCTTATCAATGGTTCATTACAATAGGTCTTCTTGTTGCTGCCATTGCCAACAATGGGACCAAAGACATTCAATCTTATGCTTGTTATCAAATTCCCATTGGTATCCAATTAATTTGGGCTGCTATACTTTCTGTTGGTATGTTTTTTCTTCCTGAATCGCCCAGATATCTTGTTATGAAGGGTCACATTGACCGGGCTTATCAATCACAAGCAAAACTCAATTGGAGCACAGTCGATGATCAAAACGTCGACACTGATATTAAACAGATCATTGCCAACAGGGAGTTAATGTCGAAATACGGTTCGGGTACTTATGTTGACTGTTTCAAAATGGGACCACAAAAGAATCTTCTTCGTACTTTGGTCGGTATTTTTCTGCAAGCATGGCAACAGTTAACTGGCATCAACTTCATCTTTTATTATGGTACATACTTCTTTCATTCTTCCGGCATTAAACAACCTTTTTTGATAACGATTGTGACAAACATTATCAATGTTGGTATGACAATTCCTGGCATGTTGCTCATGGACAAACTTGGTCGACGTAAAATTCTCATTATTGGCGCTGGTGGTATGTTGGTCTGTGAATATATTATTGCTATCATTGGTACCATTGTCGGCCAATCGAACGAAACAGCTCAAAAGACGCTTATTTCATTCGTTTGTATCTATATCGCCTTCTTCGCTTCTTCATGGGGTCCGACTGCATGGGTCGTTACAGGTGAACTTTTTCCTTTAGCTATTCGAGCGAAGTGTATGTCGCTATCGAGTGCTTCCAATTGGCTGTGGAATTTTGCTCTTGGCTATGCGACACCATACATGGTCGATCCAGACAAAGGAAACATGGGCTCCAAAGTGTTCTTTGTCTGGGGTTCAGCGTGTGTAGGCTGTCTTCTCTTTGCTATCTTCTGCATTTGGGAGACAAAAGGTTTATCACTCGAACAAATTGATTATCTTATTTGTAATTCATCGCCCATGTCATCTGCCAAAGTCAACAGTGCATTACGAGCAGGTACTATTTTAGAGGATGATTTGGTCAGTGACGAACCCAAACACTTTCCGAAGAAAACATACGATGCCGATATTCAAATGCCTACTATTTCAGGACTCGTAAAAACTACAAATGTAAACGTTAACGATTCAACAATCATGGCAGAAAGACTTTGAGAGTAAAGGATCGTCGATGCACAAAAAGAAAACATGTCTATTTTACAAATATCGCAGAAAAAGATTTTAAGATAAAGAAACGTACTGGAACTTTAATTACCCTATTCGATAACTCAAACTGTCTCCAATCATTTACACAAAAATCAAGCATTCTTATCATAACCTCCTCAGTTATAAAAAGCTTTTCTTGAAAGGTTTTTTTGTGATATAAGTGTCGTGAGTGTCTAAATAATATTTTTACATACTATATACATATGAGTGTATACACGGATGATGGTGTGAACTTAGGTGTGAGTGAATAGGTACTTGTGTAGAAAACATATGTCATACTGCATCAGCATCACAGTGAGTGTTTTTTTTTAAGTTGACCTGAATATAAATGGCATACAATTTTTCGAGAGCTATCTGAGGCGCTATCTTCCGTGTTTATGTTAGAAATATCTATATGCATAAGCACATGTGAAAGTTACGAATCTGCTCAGCTGTTATCGTCAAAATAACTGGTCTTTGGAATGTGTCAATATGCGAGTAGTGATAAAGTATACTACTTTGTCATGTCATCTCTTCTTACAATTTACCTTGTGTGGTTTTGGTATAAAATACGAATTTACCAATTCCAAGAAGGAAGTAAATGATTTGGATGACTGTGAAAGTTATGCAAAGTCATGCGATTCAAGCAAGAAAATTGTATAAACCTTTATCATACAATAATGTGGATACGCATAATCGAATGTAATGTTTATATAAATGTAGGTATCAGTGTTCTAAACAAGTATAGAATCAGTCTTATTTATTTGAACACCAGTGTATCAATACTTATGCTATTTCTTATCGTTGCACTTTTCTCTCTCATTGTATTATTCGATAAATCAAGTAAAGACGTACTTTTTCCGTTGAATAACTGCGTTAACAGGAAAAATCGTACACCTCTGAACAATTGAGTTTCAATTGGTCGGACAAAATTATCATCAATTTGAAACTTTAGTATACTTTCTTCTATCAGATTTTTGTAGAGGCCATTGAAGAAATTGTTCCCATTTCTTCTCTTCTTCAAGTAAAGTTTAAAAGCCGTTTGCTTGTACTACAATTCTTTTTTTATGACAGATACTAGCGAAATAGGAAGAGAGCATTTTTTTATTTTGAGTAGGTAAGACGAAATATATTTTAAGCACTATTTCACTCATTAGTTTATATCTCGTTCAGATGATTTAAAGTCTTCCAAATTTTATGAGAATAATATCTTTGAGAATGGTGAAGTTTATTGCCGAATTCAAGAGATGTTATTCAAGAACGAGGTTTTCTCTTTAAAAGTTGATTTTGTATTAAGTTTTACAAAGTTGAATGTCATTTCTTTATTTGCACAGCATTCTAGGCGATCGTATTATTATCGTCTTAGGAAGAATTTTGGCTTTAAAAAAACATCCAAACATTGTAATCAGTGTATTACTTAAAAAATGCTCATCTTCAGAGCATTATTTAAAGAATACTTGTATGTGCGTGCATCTTCAGGTATCAAAGATTCATGTCGAAAAAAAAATGAATTTTTCAGGACAGAAAAAGAATTAATTTTAAACGAAGATTATTAAATATTGTGAAAACATTTTCTCTATTTTTCAGAGACTTGAGCAGAAACTTTATTTTAAATTCGGCATTCCACTAATAAAAATATCGGTAAATCATAACAGTTTCAAGTTGTATGTGACGTGATGTGGTCTACAGCTTACAAAAAAAACCAATGTACCTATTCGATAACTCTTGAATCAGAGGCCATGATCTATATTCCATAGCATTTCCTAAACTACGTAGAAATATGTATTTTCTTAGTGTTTTATTTATTGAAAGAGAACAAAGAGTAGAGTTCGGTGAAAGTATCATTTATATGTAGAGTATTTTATTGTGTCGTCAATCATCGTTTCATTCGGCTTTCTTTAACCACTGTTCAAATGTGTTCTAATTCATTAACCTTTTTCCACTAGCCCCACATTTATCTTTTCCATAATAACTATATTTATCAAACTATTCATCTACAGGAATAAATATAAAGAACTTTTATTTCTAAAGACAAACTTCAACAGCATTATTGAAAGCTAAGATCTTTAGCCGAAATGCATAAATTTTCCCTGTTTTTTGTTTTCAGAAATACTCGTAGATAATGTGTGTTTTATTTGCTTGAATTTCGATTTAGTACTTTTCAGTTTCTTTTTGGTATAGATCTAGTAAAATACAATGCTGTAAAAAGACCCTTCAAATATTGGATAGTTTAAAGATTCGAATCGCTCAACAACTCAAAGTAATTAAAAAAAATGATATACAATGATATTCTAGAAAATCAAAACTAGGTAAGTTTTTGTATTTCGGCTTCAAGTCTTAGCTTTCAACAATGCTTTTGAAGTTTGTCTTTCAGAAAATAAAAATTCCGTATATTTATCTATTATCAAAAAAAAAACAAATTATTCAACGAAGTTCAGTCTATAGGGAAATGAAACGAAAAAACTTTCAGGAAGGAACTTTTGGGATATTCTGTGTAATCTCTTCTTAGAAGTGTCTTGTAAACTACAAACATTCTCATGGGTCGAGACCAGCACCGATGTATTCGTGTCTGCCAAGATCATGATGAATGTCTCTTGTTCATACACGTCTAGAGTAGATCAAACAAAACATCAAGTTCCTCTTACTGATTTACAAGTGGGTTCGACTGAATCCACAAAATATCCTTTGCAAGACGAAATGAAAACAGCGTCTGTAAGTTAAATATATCAATTAACCATCTAGTTATTTCGAAAAAAAAATTATTATAGAGTTCGACGAAGACCTACAATGTGAAGCTCGCAGAACTCTTGAGAGAGTGTGGATGTAAGTGTAGACGTGTATGACGACCTTGGTCTGATTCTTCTTCCAATCCTCAGCAATACCCGTATCCAAAATAGAAAAAAAACGTGACTTCAGTACTTTCAAGTATAAACGAAACACTGAAGTGACTCTGCTCTCTGCTCACCATATATACACAACAATCGCATTCAGGCGCACATATCTATTGCGATGTTTGCATCCACTTCGAAATCTGGAAAATCTCCAATACTACACACCGATACTCACCAGGCCATGGTTCCATAAAACAATTAGCAGTTCTTGAAAAAATCTGGAATGTCCAGCCACTATTGTGGCCAAAGACAAAAAATTGAGTCTTATGGTGTCCTTCGATTTCCTTTTTTTCACCACATGGTTTTTTTTAGATCAATCGAACCGTCCTATTCCACGGATAGAACATTCGGTGGATTAGGCCACACAATTCGCATATTTGAGAAGCTAATATTCTATTTATAAAGTTATTTTATCAGTAACTCTTGTGGCACCACTATGAGAGGTAAAGGGTTAACTACAATCTTCAATAACATTTGGTGATATGAGTGCTCAGTTTCAACAAGCATATGAACAAGATTATGTTGAATTAAGTCATTAGTCAGGTTATTATTCTAATTTTAACGCTATTGAATTAGCACCCAACATTACCAAAAAGATAACTGAAAAAAATCCACTGTCATACCATGAGTAAGGCTAATGAAACATGAAATGGTCTAGTAAAAGATGTTATTCAAAAATGCTTTTAAAAACCTTAAACGGTCTTTCAATATTTTGTGTCTTCATTTTCAACTTCAATTTGTTGGCTAAGCATCTATTCTCGTACGATTCATATGTATTTTTAGGTCAATTTGTCCCATCTATATAGTCTATATTTTATATCAAAAAACATCCACAATAAGTTTGTATGCTCCACATTGTGTATGTGACTCTTATGAACCAGCGATATACAGAACATGCAAAAAATGAAAAAACGAAAATAATGAACGTCTAAGTAACGTAGGTAATGCATACTGTTTTCATGCTGTTCTTTTTCTTTACTCGCTTCACAAGCTTCAAAACAAGAACGAGTGATGTAGTCGTCAATCAGAACTGTCGTCATCGTCGTTGAATCATTATTATTTTACTATCCATCAACACATTTTATTTTGAAAATGGATTGTGGTAGCGCTGTATTTTCTGCGTATACAGTGAAAGAAGTTGAAGCTGAAATAGCAAATCTTGCACCTCATTTACCTGTAGCCGTACTAATGAACGGTGGTATTATCAAGCTTGAAGGTGCAAATGGATTTTTTAATTCGAATTCGCTTCTCGATCCGAATTGGCTAAAAGGTAAAATGACACCGCAAGAATATTACGAAGCAACCGATTATATTAACAAGTGTACGGCTCATACTCATGTTAGTCTGAGTAAGATCTATTTAGGATCTGAAAGAGCAATGCGTGAACAATTACGAGTTCAAGCAGGCATGACTGCAGTAGAGCAGATCAATCGACGACATCCATCAGTTTGTTTTACGTATCAACAAACGACCGAAAATATACAAATGAATACATCTTGGAGTACAGATCCGACAGTGCGCTTGGCACAAAGAGGCAAAGCACCCATTGATCATGCCTCAATAACCGTACTTTATATTTCTGTAAATTGATTTGTATTCGATTCGATCTCATTTGCAATACATTTCAAAGAAATCTAAGAGAACTTCAAAAATGATTATGAATAAGTGTGCGAGCAACAGTTGCATCAATATCGGATATGCTTTTTTGGCTTTTTTATCTTCGTGTTATAGAATTTAAAGTACTCGTATGAATCGATCTCAATGACATGATTAAAAATAAATCACTGAAATTTCTTTGTGTTTTTCACAAAAACCAACACTAACAGTATAAAACTTTTAGTTCAATTGCATCTAGAGCTTCTTGGGTATAGGTTATTGTAATATTAGATTCGAATCTTGCAGAATTTATTTGAATTATTTAATGCAGAAACAATCAGATTTAAATTTTCACTACGAGTACTTCATTATTATTACTGGTATAATAAGTAATAAAAACAAAAAAAAGTAATAAAGTAATAAACCAATAAGATAGTAGCAATACTTCTAATCATGAATCAGATATCTATTTTTATCCTAAGGCATTACAACAACGGTAGATTTCAATTTTCCAACATTGATTGATCCCCATAGGAATAGGTTTGTTCAAGAAGAGACAGAGCACTTTATACAACGGAAAATAAAATTGTTCTCTCCTTGTCTGTCATATATGTTAAGTCTACGCTTTTCTTCTGTTTATTTTGATTCAGTGTGTCATAGAGGCAGCCTGAATTGTCCAATTTTTGAAGCACGAAAAAGTCTCTGGATGAGACACTTCAACAAGGAAAAAGTGACATATTTGTTGCTAATTGAGCATATTGTTGTTTCTCTAAAGTCTGCTGTTAGATCGCATCATCAAAACAATTCAATTCAGAGAAGAGAACTGAAAAACACGTTTGGCTTTATATTGAATGAAGCTTCAGAATATGTAAAGAAAATTATTTATATCAGTGTGCAAAGTTGAGATCGATGTTCTATATTACTACTATTCTCTTCCGGTATCAAATTTCTCATTTCTTGGAGAAATGTCAAATAAACATATGTCGACAGCGGTGCAGAATGTGACTCCATTGTTTCAGAGCGAAGCGTCTGCAACATAACCGGACCATTGGTACAGCACAATTTATATAATTCTGTCAATTTTCGCCCATCCATTTGCTGGCATACTGATACCATTTGATTCAGTTGTTTATCAAGTAGAAAATGATGAACATTAGTGGAAGTCCATTGAAGCACATTGTTCGGATATGAGTAGGTAGTACATTCGTTTCTAAAACAATAATTACATAGTCAAATGTTTTAATTGCTCGATTCTTCGAAGCGATATTCAATGTGACAATTACTACTATCAATACGACAGTAGTCCTTGATGCTTTCATTACGTCAGGAAAAGATCAAACTCTTTACGAGTATCAAAAACAACCTGTTGTATTCAGACTGAATGACAGATTTCATTTTTTGGACCCTTTAGAAGATAGCTTATTATTGTCTGCTTGGACCAAAGTTTCGTTTTTTTCATTAGGTTACACTTATACATAATTGTAAAATTGAATAATCCAGAGACAGTTATCGGTGCTTTAAGATTTCATATGTATACAGTCTAGGAGCAGAGTTTACTAAAGGATTTTCGTATTAGATATCGATGATGAAGAATGATCGATCAAGGTGAAAATCTAGTTGTCAGCTAGAAATGCAGCAATATGTTGTTTGAACAAACAGTTCCCAAAATTATTCTGAGAGAGGGTTATTCATTGCTATTTCTTCTATTTGGTTTAGAATTGTTGTCGTGAAAAACATCATTCTGAGTGCCAACGACCAAACTCATGATCGAATCATGGCGGATACTTGTGAGGATACTTCAAAGAGAGGAAAAAGTCAATCAGTTTCTACCACTTCATATCACCATAGTTTGAATTTCGCTGTGATTCCCTACATTTTTATATTCTAGACCTGTACAAACTGTAACTTACTACCTAATTGTCTTTATAATTTGTTTGTTAAAATAAATATTTTACAGTCGATTTTCTTTCAAAGCGCTGTGAGAAAGATTTATCAATCAAAATCATCACATAAGAATTCTTGTTATTGCGACAATTCTTACCTCATTGCTGGTGCTTCAATCACAATCGAATATGAAGCAATCGCTGATATGTCTTTCTCATCGGCTAGATGTCGATGTAATTCTGATACAAGTTGAGTATAAGCAGTATCGAAATTGGTTTTCATAAAATCTACATACATCCGACCTGATACTAAAAACGCTAACCATCCTTGTGGTTTGTAGCCAGCCTGTACTCGCAATGGAATTAAGTTACGTCGCTTTTCAAATGCATATTGCGCTTCTGCTTGACAATATGGACTTACACAGTAATTATCACTCATGCATATTATAACGCAACGAGACTGTTCAATGGCATCGGCCATTGCTTGCATCATTATACCGTGCATTCGTTCGAGATCGATCCATACGCGAAAATTTCCAGCAACTAGAGTCTTGTGAATTTGATGGCATACTTCTTTGTCTTTGTGAGAATAAGATATCATAGCATCGTACTGAAATTTGGATTCAGATGTCTCATACTTTGGAAATAATCTCCATAGAATACCATTGGCAACTTTCTGAAAATCAGGTGCTTTCGACGACATAGTCAATGTTTTTAGATACTGAACAAAGCTGTTGTTTTTTTGGAGTAATAATTGGGCGTCATTGTTAAAAGTTAATGACATGAGAATTTTGAGTGCACGTAACTGTACCTTTGTACCATCAAATTGAGTTTCAGTTGCGCATCGAACGAGGATCGGAATGCCATCCTTTTGTCGTACAAATTCTTCCTTGATTTGATCATGTTGAATAAGAACTACAAATGAACACAAACTAGTCAGAGAAAGCGTGTATGTATGCAGTTGCTTCATTCCATATCACGAAAAACAAACTCTTCAGCACTTTAACGATAAATACTGAACGATTCAATTAGTTGATAGGAGCAATGCCGAAGTAAATATCAGTTCTTCTAGGTTATTAACTGAGTACGACCGTATTGTACACTGAATGGACTTGTGAAAGTGAGAAATTCAATGGTACCTAGGAAAAATTTTCCAGAGAACTTCATCAAAAGCATACTTCGACAAAAGTATGCATTCAACAAACGACCCAATATTTAAACGATTTTAGTTGATCACAAATGTGTTTCACTAAGCTGACCCTGACTTTCTGTCGGACTTACCCAAAGCTACAAGATGCACGATGTTCTCTTTTTTACTATTCAAGCAACGAAGATGCTAATTTGCCTGACGAGAGCTATACTTCATATACTGTCCTGAATGTGTCCCGCACATTTCAATCCTACTAGCCAAACATAAGATTTTTTTTCCTACTGGAATTCTCAAAGTTCTAGAGGTTTATTATTATATTCGCGTAGTTTGAAAGTTGCTTGTTATTTCGACTTTGCCATTTAGCTACATATAAAAGAATATTTTTGAACAGTTCCCAGTTGCATGCTGCTATTGATAGTGCGTCATCTATTTTCATATTCACTACTAACGAATATCACTACTAAAACTGAACCGAACACATTTGTGATCGTGCTTATATATCAGCTATCATTATTTCTTTTCTACGAAGTACGCGCCTCGTAGTCTATAATTTGTCATTTTGACAAAGGTAGAAAAACGAATAAACAGTATGCATGGAAACTACATAGTATCGATGCAGAAACACTTAGTCTTAACGATGTTTAGCATTGAGAAGCTTGTCTAGGCGAACATTTGCCACTGTTCAACTGTATCCAAAACTCTTTCATAGCTTACTTTTCAAGCTGAGAAGTGAATTTTCTAAACGCTGCTTTAATCCAACACCATCAATGGATTTTTTCAAGTAGGTTATAAATACAGTTGTGATTTGAGCTGGATTAGCCAATTGTTTAATATCATTGTCCGTGAGGATAGCAGCCAGTGCTCGATAAGTATGAAATTGAGTTTTATCGAAATTGGCTTGAGTTAGCTTGATAAGAACTGGTACGGTATTATTCTCTTTTAGTTTATCACGGAGTTCGGGCAAGAATGTCATCGTATATATGTAGAGAGTAGCATAGCAGAAAAGCTGACTTGCTCGCTTCTGCCGCTTATCCGATGTTGAGTTTTGACTTGCGAGATGCCACAATTCTTCTCCTTGAATAATCATGAGTACATACTCAAGAATTTTCTTGTGCTGTACATTATAAGCAGGAAGAAGACGTTGATTTGCACAATTTTGGCAAAGCAAAATCAAAGAAAAGACACACCAGATCACAGGCTCATTCCAATCATCAATCGATGGTAAAAAATGTTCCAAAATTTCTGGCGCACGATTTAGTGTTTCTTGCGCTGTTGCCGATGCCACTTCTTCGTGTCGTTGGCTCCAATGTGAAACAATGTATTTAGGACAGGTCACAAGAATGAGCTTTTGAAAATGTGTAAGTTCATTTTGTTTAATCGATAATTGTAAAAATGAACTCTTATATTCTGATGATTTGACGAAGTCAACTATGGGCATTATCAGAGTCAAAAGAATCGGATTATCTTGAATAGTCGGACGATCTTCTTGAAATTTCTGATATACATCAATCATCTGGTCGATGCTGCCAACTAAGCTAGTGTTTGATGCGGGCGAAAGAGTCTTTAAAGATTTGAGCAAACATGCGATTAGATTTGAGTCTGCAAACAATTGTTGAATGAGATGAATATTTTCGTCGGTTACATTGTTCATCATTTGTGAAAATAGTTGACTGATACGACATGAAAAATCAAAACTGTCCACGAATTTTTCAATAGTATCAATAAATACATTTCGAATACAAATGAAAAAGGGATGATCAATGACATCAGTACACATAATATTCACCTCAATAAGTGCTTTAATGATATTGTCCAGATATTGATGGTCATCTGCTGATGTCCTTCTCATAATATCATCAAAATAAAGCCTCAATTTCTTCTCATCACCATGATCCAATTCACGAAGAGTTGATACATGTGTTGAAGTCATATTAGCACAGTTGTTTTGTTTAGTTTTCAAT